CGAGGGGAGGGCGGGGGGGGGGGGCGAGGGGAAAGAAAAAAAAAAAGGGACCCCCCTCCCCCTCTTCCCCCCCCCCACCCCCCTCCCTTTTTTCCCCCCCCCCTTTTTTCTCCTCCCCCCCCCCCCCCCCCACGTCCCCTTGAACGCCTTCTACGCAGGCTATTGATATTTTTGTTAATCATTTCTCTTTACCTCGATTGCAAAATTCAAAAGAAAAACAAAAGAATATCAAAATTTGACGCCATTTGGAATAAGGCGCTTATTGAAATCAATTTTAAGTTTATTGATAAGGTACAGTTCAACGATCATCCTTGCGACCCATTGTAGTATTTTCTTTCAGTGTAGCTCAGGCCCTGGGGAAGGCAAATTTTGTTTGTTTAGCCTCAAACAAATCAGCCCTTTGCCGTATTGCCAATCTTGCATTCAGTTTTGTGTTTTATTTTCTACCTACCTAGCACCTACCCTTAACTTATGCCCCAAGGTGAAAATGCCATAATAATTGTCTTTTGTTGCGTTTCATTTCAGTTGACGTAAATTGATTTATATACACTATCATTCACGAAAAGTGACTCAAAATGCGGTTTGGCCTGTAAGTATTAAATTGCATGCCCTATACAATTTTTTTAGTATAGAAGTCCAATGGGCATAGTTTTTGAGGCGCTCAGTCCTTAAGGTAGACTCAGTGTAGTGTGACACTACACTAATGCAAACAAAGGTGGCGCGCAATGCAAGATTAAAAATGGTTGCTTCGTCGGCCGTGAGAAGTATTTGTTCTTGATAATTTTAGGGAAAAACAATTTCTTGCTTTGAAGAAGTGGTGAAACGATTAATCGAATTCTCGATTAATCGCGATTATGACCGTTCGGTTCGATTCACGATTCTTTGCTTCCACGTTTCGATTTTGATTCGATTTTTGCATACCTTTTCCAGGATGCTCTCATTGAGTTATTATATTGTAAAATCAGAATCCAAAACTCTTTCAAATGTGCGCTTTTGGTTGACGTGCAAAGGCGATTGCATTTCGTGCGCCATTTTGTGTTGCCTGGAAAAATGCTGTCCTTTGATCACCTTTTGTGAATACTGCAAGCGCGGGGTCCACGCGGTTTCATCGAAATAGCCAAATGTGCTATTTTTAGAACAAACTGGGTCACCCTCAACGTCACAAACTCGCTCGGGAATCCGCATATTTACGCGGCTTCCGTGTGGAATTTCAGAAGATGGGCGAACGTCTTGTGACTTTATTTGAGTGCTTTTTTAACTTTCCAGGTGCCTCATATCTCGATATACAATGTATGCGCAGTGGAAGAATAAGCCAATGTTATATAAACATTAATAGAAATGCGTTTACCGTAAAAACCTCGCGAGGCTGTAATGGGCTACCAGTAAGAAACCACCCAAAGGGGAAAATAGGATGTAAAACAAAAACTAGGAATCCAGAAAAATTTTAAAATAGGGGTTTGACAGCTTTATAGAATCTAATTATTGAAAACAGACCCGACAGCATTCAGTGTTTTGTTCTCGTTAGCAAACATTGTAACATATTAGAGACAATAAAATAAAAATTGTAATCCTTTTTAGAAAAAAAAGGACATTACCTTAAACTCAGTAAACTTTCAAATAACGGATATGTGCAATTGGGTTATTTTATTGTTATCAAGAAGGATTGGTTGATTTTATAACTAAATATTCTCTTTGTTATTTTACTTTTTCCGTTTCATTTCCTTAGGTGGGTTGATCACGGTAACAAACATGAAAGTCTGCTCACAGGTCTTCTTTTCGCTTCCATTTATCTCCGCAACACACATCCACTTCCAAATGCTATTGAGATGTGTAAAGAAGTTTTGTTTCTTCTCGAGCACAAGACACTGGGAAATACAGAAGAAAAGTGTGCCACTTCAAGACTCTTACAACTGACAGTGCGTTTTTTTACGCCGTGTTTTGGAGAGAAGTTACATGCTGGCCAAAAGCGCTCTTTTCATCTTGACCCCTGTTGGACGTATAACCGTCTTAACATGTTTCTAGTTCGTAAATACCATGAAGCAAAAGGGCTTTTCATAAAAGCACTAAAGATTGCGTTAGAAACTGGATATGAAGAAGGAACAGCAGAATGCTATGACAATCTTGGAAGTATCTTTAAGTCCCTCGGTGAATATGTCGAGGCTAAAGAACATTACGAAAAAGCACTTGCAATCGGATAGAAAATTGACGACAGGGAAACAGAAGCCAAATGCAATGGAAACCTAGGAAGTATCTTTCATTCTCTCGGTGAATATGTCAATGCTCAAGAATATTACGAAAAAGCACTTGCAATCGCAGGGAAAAATGGCCACAGGGAAAGAGAATCCTATTTCTATACAATGATAGGATGTGTGTTTCTGCACCTCGGTGAATATGTCAAGGCTAAAGAACATAGCGAAAAAGTACTTGCAATCGCAGGGTTAATTGGCCACAAGGCTAGAGTCATGTACTTACTTGGCTCTTTCACTTTGTATGTTAAAACTTGGCAACATATATGAAGGTAACTCAAATATCTTTGCCAGTATTAATAAGAGTGAGGTTATTCGCAGACTCCAAGTTCAAGAAAAATACAAGATATCGCATTTTGACCACGTAGTTAAGGAATACCGATTAGCCAGTGATTTTCTTAGTAAATCTGGCTTTCTTTATGAGGCTTTCTACATAGAAGAATATGGGCGAGCAAGGGCCCTTGCAGACTTAATGGCAGCTCGTTACTCTGAAGAAAACGAAATATCAGTCACTCCACAAAGATGGGATGATATTGAAAGTATCGTGAAGAAAGAATGCAACTGTACTTGTCTTTCCATTTCATACTACAGACAATCGATAAATTTTTGGGTCTTAAAAGCAGAAAGCCCTTTACTTTTCCGAAAAATAAACATCACTAACTTTTTTGATGGCAAAGGATCAGTAAGCGGAGTGACTGACTGGCTTTGTCGCAAAATCTACAAAGAGGTACTTTGCTTACCTCCTAAACAGTGCGAGGATCGATCCTGGCTTCCCTCAGACGCTTATTCGGAGTATGGGCGTGAACGCCCAATAGACCATTTTACAGTTGTGTGCTTAGTGCCCTGGTCTTTGAACAGAAGCGAGGCTGGCGGTGACCTTGTTTTGCTACAAACCTTCCTGCTTTTCATGTGCAAATCGTGGCATTTTCATGCTAACAAGCCCGTGAACATGATCATTTACATATGAAAAACAAGAAGGTTTGTAACAAAACCAGGTCACCGCCAGCCTCGCTTCTATTCAAAGGTCAGGGCACTGAGCATACAACTGCAAAAGGGCCTATTGTAGAAGATGATGAAGGCAAGCGTACTCCTGCTTATGTCTACAAAAAGATCATTGCTCCCGTAGCCGACCATCTTGATGAGCCTGAAATCATCATTGTTCCTGATCGCCTCTTTTACAATGTTCCATTTGCAGCGTTAGAGGAAAAAAGTGGAAAGTGTTTATCAGAGTCTTTCAGGATACGCATCGTTCCCTCTTTGACGACTCTAAAGCGTATTCAGGACAGTCCGGCCGACTATCACAGTCAGAATGGTGTAGTGATAGTGGGGGACCCTAATGTTGGTGAGGTGTTGTATAATGGCGTTCTTCGGCAGATATCGAGGTTGCCTTTTGCAAGTGAAGAAGCAAAAATGATTGGAAAACTGTTCGGTACTGAACCTCTGGTAGGAAAGCAAGCTACAAAGCAGGCGGTCCTTCAAAACATTCATTCGGTGTCTCTGATACATTTTGCTTGTCATGGTAATGCCGAAAGAGGTGAAATTGTTCTTGCACCTCCACCCCTAACTGATAGGAGACCTCAAGAAGAAAACTACTTATTGACTATGGAGAACATTTCACAAGTTCAACTGCGAGCCAAACTGGTAGTCCTTAGTTGCTGTGGAGTGGTTGGAATTGCTCGTGCGTTCTTAGGATCCGGTGCGCGCTCAGTGTTGGCAGCACTGTGGGCCATCATGAAGACGAAGCAACAGAACAGTTCATGAGTCGTTTCTACGAGAACCTTGTTCGTGGGGATAGTGCCAGCGAATCCCTTCAACAAGCTATGAACTGGATGAGAGAAAACGGTTTCGCTAAGATAACGCAGTGGGCGCCATTTATGCTTATTGGAGACAACGTGACATTAGATGTTCACAAGTTTAGGTTAACGGAAGGACAATAGAAGTTGATTAATCAAACAATGATCCTTTTCTCCTCCTCCCTCGTGTTTGTTCTTACAAATACAGGAGTAACTTTGCGTATTTGTCGTTGAACTAATAGAAACATAGGGCCGATTTGTTCAGTACAACAATAAAGATGTCAAAATAAATATAAGTAATGAGTAGCAAGTAGTAAGTAAGTAAATAAGTCTCTAATACCTGGCGAAGATACAGAAAGAGAAGCATTTAGGACGAAAAATTCCTTTTTTGTTTTTGACATAACTCGAATAAAGTTTTATGAAATAATAGCTTTTTCAGTTTTTTTTCTCACTCAGGTTCATTCAAGATTATTTGTAACAGTGATTTTCACTTATTATTAAAACGGTGTCCTTTAATGTCGGAAATGAACCTAATTGTTTACAGCTTCTTTTTGTTAGAGGAAAAATTTAATAGTTGTTGCTCGAAGAATATTTGCGTATAAGTAAAAGTGGAGGCATGTGAATTACAGTACACATTTCATACTCTGGAAGTGTCTCATATCAGAAGTAGTTTTACTATGCAGTTGTGCACGACTTGTACGAGTCAGACCACTTAAATTGAGTCTCCTCAACTCTTCTCTCACTGAATTCCAAAATAATGAGATGCGGTTTCACAAGTTGCACGACTATTACGAGTCGTTTCCAACTTGAACAGGGCCCCCTCTCCGCGTGAACTGAGAAAACAGCCTACATTTCGCAACGCCACCACTGGTTTCCCCGCGAAATGACGTCTGAGCAACGACTGCAGAAATTTCATACTAACGATGCGTCACTACCCAGATCTGGGTGGTGTCGCGTCATCAGTATGGAATTTCTGCGCTTGTTTCTCAGACGCCGTTTTGCAGGAAACCAATGGTGACGTCGCGAAATGTCGGCTGGTTTCAGAGGCTGCCCTCTCGGCAACTCTCAGTTCTCAGAGTCACTAATGAATAATTCATGCAATTTCGATGAAATTTATCCCATTCACCACTTTTAAGAATCGTTCAAATGCAACTTAGGCTGAAGACACGATTTGTATTACTCTTCCGAGTTGTAGCTCTTGAATCACGACTTTAATTCGCAACTTGAACAAGAGGTGAGCACGGGACAAGGAAACCGTCGAGCATGATGAGAATTAGACGTCACAAACTTAGGCTTGAACCACGTAGATACGACAATATACCTCGTGATGGAAGGTTATGCAATCTGTGGAGCTGTAACAAAATGGAAGACGAAACTCATTTTTAGTAGACCGTCCAAGCTATTGTCGACAAGAGACATGATCTTTAATTTCTAAAATCCCATTCCAACGACTACTATCAAATGAGACCTTGTTATCAAATCTGATGAATTTCCCTTGTGCATGTTTAAGTCAAACGAGCAAATTTAAATATCGTCTTACGTTTTGACAATGAACGTTAAGAAGTCTTCTAGATGTGAATTCGCAACACTGTAATAATGAGAAGGATTTTGTTGAAAAAAGAGGGTGAAAATTGCTAGTCTCACGTAAACATGCATAAAAGGGCCATTCTACGCACTGTTTCATTAACATTCAGAATTATTTTAATACATCATGCTTTCAATTAAGAGACAAACTTGGTTCCGGAACAACTTCTGTTAGGATTAAAGGTTAAAATAAGTGATGATTGAATTTTTCCTCTTTTATTATATTTTAAAACAACTATGAACGATTACAAATTAAATTTCACAGGCTACTGTAATATTTTAAAACTTTCCTATAGTCGTTCAAATAAAGCTTGCTGCTGTTATTTTAGCGTGTTGTTAGATTTAGGTTTACAGTTGAGGGTGAGGGCGAGGTAAGGGTGATACCTGATTGATCGATATCCGGTTGGCTAGATGAAGGACTGAGCAGCCAGTTGCATGAAACCTCAGACAGATGCATCAGACGCCACAGCTAACTTCTGGCTTTAAAATAAAGGGTTTGACCGGCGGTGAAAGTCAGATGTTAACACTCGTCCGACGTTGATATTAATGAGCTCAGTTAGCAACGACGATGGCGACGGCAACAAAATCGTCCAACAAAACTCCCCACTTCAGAAACTCTAGGGAGAATGGGTACTAGCTTTTGGTGAAGTGATTTCTGGGATAGTTTGGGTCGGACATGCTTAGTTATAATTGGTCGATGGTATTCAAGGTAACCATGGCAAGTTATAAGTAACCAACCAAACTATCCCAGAAATCGTTCCGCGGAGAGCTTGAATTCTTTCCCCATATAGTTTCTAGAAAGTGAAAAAATCTCCGTTTTAAATCCGGATGCGAGTGGACACGATCTGAAGCTAAAGCTACCTATTTTGCAACCGGCTCCAGACTTAAACCTGCTTGCCTGATGAATTTTTGACTATTATAGTCAGTTCGAAAAACAAAAACTCGGTCAGAATAGAGTCAAATCTACTAACACAGCAACCTTTATCCATTTCGGCAAAGTAGCACAAAGAAATAAACTCGTAAACTGTTTAATGTCGAGCTTACATCGTATATGTTTCACAATCCATTCGTAAAGCTACTACAAGCGTCCTTTACTTCCTACGTTATGAAAAAACCTAGCACGTTCTAAAATAACAACACATAATATGCATACTATTAGCGTCACTAGGCGTGTCACGCATGCGGTCACGCCATTACATCTCTTCCCCCATCACGTGGATGGGACGCAACGATGCGAACGAAAACAGCAAACAAAAATAAATAAATAAACTAAATAAATTAAATGTTGCTAATGACAAGTAAGCCCTTGTGTCCTTTACAGGCTCTAATGTAGCTAGTAGACAAGCAAGTGCTCGCTATTCGCAAATAAAGTCCTTATATTTAGTGTCCTTTGTGGATCTTGTTTTCCCTCTGGGCCTGTCCAGGGGCGCATGTCTTCGCTCTGTGTCACGGTCCGATCCGGGCTGCCGAGATCTCTGCCTACTCTCGTACTCAGCTGTGTCGCTGTTTGCTCTTAGCTGCTCATGACCTTGCCTTGATTCACTGGATCTGTCCGCTGGCAATGCATCCCCACTTGGCCCTGCTAAGGATTGCTCTGGACCTTCAATTATAACTTCATCCGGTTCAAATGCATCATCGCTGTCAGAATCATCACACCGCGGTGATTCCCTACAACCATTTTTGAGCAGTTTCCAATCGGCGTAATTCCTGGTGCGAATCCTAACACTGTTCTTGGGAGTGACCATGCTTCCCTTGACGCCAATGACTACCATAGGCTCCGGGTCATACAGAGGGGTCAGGCTGTTTTTACGTTCCTGCTTGCACAACACTGTGTCCCCGACTTTAATTTTCATCACGGCTGTGTCTTCTTTTATCAGCATATTGTTTCATCTTCTGGTTTTGTTCTCGGTCCCGACAGCGGATCATCGTGTCATCCCTATATTTAGGCTGTCCCTTGAACTTTCCACGTAATTCCCTTCCGAACATGAGCTTGTTCGGGCTGACTCCAGTTGTCGCATGCTCAGTTGCTCTGTATGCCATGATTCCCCGGTTCACTTGATCCCTCACGGGTTTGCCTTCCAAAGAGGCGATCCGAGCGGTCTTCTTTATTCTCTGCATGAACCTTTCTACATCGCCGTTGGCTTCTGCCCATCCGGGCGTCACTTTTCGGTGCTTAAACCCCTCCTCTTTTGCGTATTCTTCGAATTTATGGCTGTTGAAGGGCGGTCTGTTATCTGATTTGATTTCTTTTGGCACTCCATATGTGTCGAACACCCTCTTGAATGTCGGTATTGTTGCTTTCTCGCTCGTGGACCCCACGAATTCAACCACTGGGTATCTGGCATATTGACAGTAAAATACGAGGGCGAGGTCACCACTCGCCATTGGTCCGCAAAAATCCACGCTGACCTTCTC